TGTTACTAGATGCCTAGGGTTGAAGATCAAACTAATTGTATCATCTCAATTTATTATTTTGTTGTTTTTCAATACCCTACACAAAAGAAAAAGCTATGAAATATGACTACCATGAAATGCACTGTAATATTTGCATGCACGATGCAAGCTAATAATAATGCTCTTAGCATCTATTAGAACTTTCCATGCTCTTATGATAGTAGTGTAAAATGTGTTTTTTTAGCGAGTATGTTATTAAAGCTAATTCACAATGTTGGTAATTCAAGATGTCACTAATTTGAAATAAAGTTTATTCTCACGATTAGATTGTTGGCACTAAATTAGCTAAATTGAGATTCTGTTTTTACTATATTTATGGTCTCTCGGGTAAGAACTGTGAACTGATAATACTTTATGAGTTAAAACAATGATTTCTATATTTTGCACAGAACGACCCACGATTGAGGTGGAGGCACCGTGTTACGCATAGAAGAAACAGACACATGGATTCAACTGTGGTGACTGTTAAATCATACAACTTGGAAAACAAAGGTCTATGGTTAAATATGCATTGTTACAGGATCAAGTGGTACTCATAGTCAGCATGATTAGTTGTCATGCCAACTCTGACTGGGCGCATATACCACGAGTTATATGTACACATATAGCAATTCCCATGAGAAATCTTTCAGTTGGACAGCGCCACAAGAGCCACCATTTGTGTATTCTTTTGTTTTATTAGGGCATTCTGAAAAGAAAACACCTGGACGATCTTATGGAAGACATTTTATTCATACAATAATTTTATGCATAATATATAAATGATAAATATATAAAATTTATATCACAAAAAAAAAATGAAAACATGGTATCAGTACGTACTAGGCATTAATGACAATACCAGTAATTGCAAGTCAAGACAACTGTCTTCTGTAGGTAAACTGATGTCATGTCTACAAATTAACAGCGTGCATGCATAAATAAATCATTTTCTCGGCCAGAAGATTGGGGGATATACAGTATCTTCAAATGGTGTATTGACCAAATGAGGTTTATTTAAAATTACATTCAACTTGTATTATATGCAGAATACCTCCCATTGATTTTGTGTTGAAAAAAATGTTCAGTTGATTTGGCAATTCCTGATGAAATCAAATACTGTAAAATACTTTTCGCTTGGAATTTATTTTCAGTGAAGGAATGATTCAGTGAAAATAAAATCCAGTGAATATACTTTTTTTTCCTATATTTTACATTCAACTTGTCAAAAATCATAAATTCCATACAAAACACCCAAATGTCTTTTCAGCAAAAATTAATTCCAGCTAAAATAAAGTATTCTACAGTAGGTGTTTCAGAGTTGTAATCATTCAAGTCCATGCCATATACTACTATCTAAGAAAAAAAATGTATAGCAAATAAAAAGTTTAAAAAACAGCTATTAAAATAATACTGTGAGAAAGGTATATTCCTGAGGGTAAAAGTAAGCCATCACACATAAATACAGAATTATCAGTGAGGGCCAGTTTTCAGATAGTTTTCTCCTTATGCAAGGGTTTAAATGCCCTTAGATCAGGGGATAATTTGTTAAGCCTCAAGGCAAACGAGTAAATCCTGATGTAGGAGGCTGTGATTACTTGACATCAGCCCAATTATCTAACAAGTCACAATCTGACTGGATTTATCAAACAGAGTGGATCTTGCTGAAAAGCATGTCGTCTCTATCTACCGTGCATGACTTAAACCAGATTGTTTTCTTTGTTGCTATATGTGTTATTTACTCTTTTTAATCCATTATAGATAGCATAGTACTGCCTAATTGTGCAGACATTCTCCATGCACTAGGTCACAAATGCTTGTATTTTGGAATTAATGATTACATTGCTTTTCAGCAAGTACAGTTCATTCACCACATGACCACCACATGATTAACAAATTCAGTTTGATGATTACTGCCATCTTGTGCAGTTTACTGCGTAGCAATGGTTCATACAACAACCAATAGACTGTTTTAGGTTGTCACAAGGTATTTTATCTGAACATTGATAGTGTGGATAAGAATTCTAAAATTTAATGGAATAAAACTGACTTTCCATTGTGAATATTAAGGAAGCTAACAATAAATTAAAATTTCTTCACCCCAAACACACCTTGATTTTTTTTTTAGCATGGAAGAGACTTGTGTGTAAAACAGTAGTACATATACTTTAAGAATATTTTTTGACAATGCAAGTATATCCTCACATATTGAAACAATAGAATGTTATGTAAAATAAAATTTTCTTGTTGGAAAACTTCTACAAAATAATATAGATCCCGTAATTCAAGAGATTTAAGTAAAATGTGACTAAATAATTAGAAATTATGGAAGTTTTTATACTTAACTCATGTCCCATAATCCTCTATACAAGATGTCTACTAAGCTTATAAGCTTATATCCCATAATCCTCTATACAAGATGGCTACTAAGGTCATAAGTATGCCAGGATTCTCTACAGGCTTCACAAAACAAATAAAATTTGTATTCATGTGCAAATCATAGCCACTCATCCTGAAAACCAGACGTTAAATCTTTTGAGTAAGACCCAAGTGAAAACAAACTGTTTAAAAAATAGCAGACTTAAAGCGCGGTAGTTGCATGTGCGAGATATATGGGTCTCATCAGAGGTACATTACTT